AAAACATATGAAACCATTCTTACGTCAGGACTCTCAGGAAATGTTTGGGCCAATATGCTATACAGGAACAACACACCATTATTCATTCCATTGAGCCTGTGAACATCATTGTACGCAGTAGTCCAGCAACGTGATGTCTGAGAACACAACCCTTGTTGTGTCACCAGGGAATAAGAAGCTAATGAACTCCTTTTCTGGAATAAACAAAGGCTTTCTACTTGAGACTACAGACGATTACATTGTTGATTCTGTTGCAGTTGCTGCTTTGATTTTCATATTTGTTTACTTTCAATCTGCCCATTTTGGCCTGTTTACGCTACCGAAATGCAAGACTACGTGGTTCCTGTTTTAGACATTTAACCCTTTTAGTCTCGAAGAATAAAAACAGTCTTAGCCTCCCAATCTTCTCAGGTCAACATGTATTTGACCTAATGAGCAGCTGCTATAACTCACTAAAACACCCACGTTCACTGGGTTTTCGAGGATTTTTCCAACTTCTGTTTGACACGGATCTTATTCATCTGATTTCAACATCATGTTGGTAGCGAATAAAATACTAGAAATGTTGTAGGATTGGCTAAGAAGTTTGATGTCTGTCTGGCCAACAGCTGCTGCTTTCAGACAGAGTGCTGCTAATGGATCAGTGGGTGTTGAAGCCATATGTTTGTATCATAATGAATAACGTAAACAGGAAGACGCCATATGTACCGTACGGTTTCTATTGTTCTCTACTCACCATGCTCTTTCTCAATCGCTGTGCTGATCCTCCTCATGTCTGTGGATATTAGGTCATCTCTGGAGCCCTGGCCAACCACAAGATGGAACGATTGAAAACTGTGTTGCAAAGAGGTGAGCTGGCACATTCTGAATATCATAATCAGACCAAGTGGACAAGAGCAGATGTTTGACATTCTATTTCCTGCAATTTGAGGAAATATTTTAACGGTGAAAACAAAATGTAACAGTTCTGGCACCTTTGTTCAGAATGTATTGTGCCACTTTAGCTTCCTCGGAGCAATCTTTTACTGTTTACTCACTCAGTCTGAGAATTCCTGCATTACACAGGAGGGATTCCCAGCACGTACGGTGCTTAATACATTTATTGGACCACCAACTTATTATTCTACAGCTGCCCTAAATTAACAGTAATTACCAAAATAATTGTTGTATGTTTCTGTAAATGCACTGGGTTTTAACATAACTGTTTGTGCATCTGTATACCAGACCAGACCAGTTTTCACAAAATTCCACTGCACTTGGCACCACGGTACACTATTTGGCAACAACTGAATTGAATCTAAATAGAGAGACTGACATTAAAACTTTTATAGTCTGTAGGATCCCATGAATGTGTGCCCACTGTGGGTCAGAGTTCATGCTGCAAGATTTTGTCTTATGATCACTTCCCTGGGAAGGAATAGTTGTGAAGCTCCGGCTAGTAATGCTAGTAATCCCAGTACTGGAGTGGCGTCAGCGACACTGGGGTTTGCAGTCTTCTTGAAACGTGCTCCTTCAAACTACATGACATTAAAGTCATCTGACAAGGAAAACAAATAATAAAGCTAAAAGCTAGTTTTGACTACCCTCATATCCACAGGAGGTCACCAAAGCGGGTCGCTCTGCATGTTTGATTTGGCAGAGAGATTTCGTCCTGGGATCAAGTCGGGGATCTTTCTTCAGCTATCTTTGTAACAACCACTTTGAGTTTCAGGACATCAGAAAGATGAATACGTCTGTTTCTTTGATCCCCGGACCTTCAGTTTATATTCCCCCTCCCGTGTTTCCCCGCTGTTAACTCTCACTCACTGTTTGGTGTTTTGATATTGTTGTTGACGTGTAGTTTTGCATCCCCTGTCTCATTGCCGTTGATCAGTTTCAGCTGTGACTTGTCACCCTGGTGTTTCCCGTCTCCCATCAATTTTTTTTCAAAATAGCGTTGTGTTTAAATTGCTCTGTATTTGTGTGCGGTTTGGAGTATACATTTGTTAGCACTCAAAAATGTGCACACAAATCATTGTAAACATTTGTAAATATTAGCTTGTGTTTGTAGATTAGACCACACGCACATTTGTAAACCTTTTGAGGCTAATTTCACTCCAAAACCAAGCTTTGCAGGCCATGCTGGTCCTTGGCAGACAGTTTCAAGCCAGGTGTTAGACTTTACCTTTGCAAGATAATTCGCATTAACATTTTGAATTTTCACTCCACATCCACCAAGAGGCCTCACAATGTTGCTGAACGGAAAACAGGTCAACAGCGACAGCACAGTAGGCTGGGTCCTATTGTATAGCACAGGTAAACTAACCTTTTTAATTCATTTGTCATTTTCAGTCCTGTCAGACAGGCTAGTTTAGACACGTGCTAGAGAAAAATTCAAGATTCCTTACCTTGATTTTACATCATGTATCTGGCTTTGTTTAATACTTCATACGACAAGTAGCTGTCATACTGAGGATTTTGCAACTAATTATTTGGAACTGGAAGACTGTAAATGAGACTTTTTGAACTAAACTGAGAAACTTTTTTGGCCTAATTATAGATGAAACAGCGTTTAGGATTTATCAGATTTTTATTTTGATAAACACGGTCATAAAAATAGACTGGTACACACTGTACAGTATGCTTCATGACGCCATTGAATGACATGCCTGACTGAAGATCTTACAGCACAATTGCCAATTCATATGTGAAACTGACTTTTAGTTACATCACAGAAATCCCCTAGAAAAGGAGCGTTGTGAGGTGACTCACGTTTAGGCCCAGCCCAGGACTGGAGATGAGAGGCTGAGCGGAAAGCTGCTTCAAGTTCTGGTAGAGCAGCTCATAAAGTGGGAGGTACAGCAAACAGATCCTGGCCTGCTGGTTCTGAAACCATAAACATTTGAAAACAAGTAAAAGGAGATGATTATTGTAGGTTAATGTTAGCTACACCTAGCCCTTACCTTTCTGTGGCTGCACTCTAACGTAGGTGGTTTGCATAAGAGACAATCTTATCTAAACTAAAATAGAAAGGTATGCACAGGTGGTGACCTGTGTCACATACTTCATTTACTTTTATGGGGAAAAATGCTGAGCTCACTTGGTAGGACATTTGGCCTCTGTTGATGATCGATGTATTATTACACATTAAACAATGTCTCCTTTATTTCTTATTCAGACTCTTCAGACTTTTGTTTTTAAGATAGGCTTTGTTGTTAATGCAGGGTGTATAGGGTAAATGCCAAATCAAATACTTTAATCATTGGCACTCATTGTTATTTTGCATTGTTACGAAACAGAATTGTTGAGAACAATAAATCATTGTTCTGCCCTTTTCTCCGTCCACATTCCTGCTCATCCTGCCTCTGCTTGTTCCTTTCTGTTTACATGCTCCTAACCTTGAAAGCGGTGTAGCGATCATCCATGGCGTGTTTAATAAGAAGGTTCTTGAGGATGCCCACGGCCTGTTGCCTCACTTCGGGCGCTTGCTGCAAGGCGTCAGCCACCTCTCTCAGCAGCAGCCCCACCAGGAAGTGGTTACGGCAGTATTCCTCCGTCAAACTGAACTCCAGACTCTGCTCTGTGATTGGGCCAAACAGGATATGAGAGAGCATCAGGATGAGCTGAAGTGAAATTTCCTAACAGTAAATTCTGGTCTGGTAAAAATGTGTTTCGAATCTAATTTAATCAACTTCTTACAACATTTTTTTCCTTGTGAGCAATCAGTCTATAATGTAACAACGTAAGCTGCAGATGTTAAAGGGAAAGCCTAAATGCTCGACCTCAGCAGCTGTGTAACACACTCGTGCTAGCACACTTTAGGCCCCTTAGGGCAGTGCTCTGAACTTCATTCGGTATGCTTCACTTCTCAAACCACAAAAAGTCTGCACGACACATTTAACTATTGTCAGTTATTAACAGGAAAAATGGGAACAAAATTTTAGTGAAACAAAGGTTAGCATGATAGAATCAGCCCAGCATCATCCTGCCCAGCAAAACCCAGTAAAGGCAGCTGAAGGCTGGAAAGGACAGACTTGTGTAAAAACTGTGGACAAGCTGCAAGAGTGAATGACAAGAAAAAACGGGAATCTGAACCTGACCATTTATTACAGCTTCCCAATTAAAAGATTTCTTTGGATATTCTGGGATCCACTGGGTTCCTAGAACTACTGGTGAGGTTAGGGCTGTTCGATATAACGATATATATCGGATGACGATATAAAAACGGCTATCGTTTCATTTTACGCTATCGTTTGTTTCGTGGTGTCGCAAAATAAACTGTTTACGGCAATATTTTTTCATCGTTTTGATGGTCACTGTAGTGGCTATATTAATTTCTTAAAGTTCTCTCTTTCTCTTTTATTTAATATAACCACACTACAGACAGACAAGCGTTTGTTTTTATGAGTTGTTGTTAGCAACAACGACGAAAACCACCGCGTGTCCATTTGTTCCGCATAAACCTTTCACAATAAAGCTCAATATCCTGTTGAGACTTTTCAAAATAAACTGAATCACGTGAAAGAGCAGATTATTTACGGATGAGAAGTAAAAAAAAGAGCCGCCAGGTGCTAAAAAAATAAACCTTAGACTCAAAAGACAGGCTTTTCCCCGCAGCACGCCGCGTAATAAATACTCACAAAGAAAAAGGCGGCTGTTACAACTTATGTCTAAAAATGTATCGTTTCATGCATCGGTTAAAACACTCGACTCCAGCTACATGACACGCAGCTGGAAACACTTCAAGCAAGTCGAGCTGCCCGAGATTCACAGAATTTACAGAAAATGTTACATTTTTGTGATTTGTATCGAATTCTTATATATGAGATATGAGATTTTGGTCATATCGCACAGGCCTAGGTGACGTTATTCTTTTCTGTCATCTCATAAATCGAAACAACTCTCACTATCTCGGCCAGGAAGTGATATTCCCACATTTTCTCACACCCTTAAAACACGATAGAATGACATATAAAATTAAGTTGTAAAACATACTGAAAGTAAGCATATGAGTAAATAAGATTTATTTTATTATAAACACATGCTTGAAACAATGCATTTTGATTGGATATAGGAGATTTTAGACCAGTCATGAAAGCTGAAATCAATGCTAACCTGTTTCATAAGGGAAACAGTGATCCGGCTAATGAACTGTTTTTGTTTGTTTTTTTCCTTTAATTTCTCCTCAGACTGCATATTTTTACTAAATAACTATAAATAAAAAAAACATCCTGGCTTAATAGTGCACAACTTGGCCTTCAAGAGTTTTACTTCCTGGCTTTTCTCTTATGCGGCGCCTTGCAAGATAAATGTTTCAGAGCTCTTTGCATTAAAAGCACCAAACAAGCACCAACACAAACACAGCAGATTTATACGATATGATGTGTCTTATTCAGTAGTTATAATGTTTTATAGAAGCAAGTGTGGCAAATTCAATCATTCAAAGTGCATCACTCCAAACCACTATGCAACAAACTCACGGAACACATTCATCAGCACATTAACGTTTCCACAACACACAAAGCGGAGCGGACTTGAATAATTCATCAGGAAATCTGCTGGAAATGATCTTTCGGTGTTATTCAGACAAGAGAAATAAACAAACAGACCACTAAAAAATGAGAAGTTCAACAGAAACAATGACATGGAGTTCAACAGCAGCCCTGGGTTAATATTAACACAGGCAGTGCAGCCTGGAAAACAGAAACCATCTCCAATTATCTCCTCTAATGACAGACACGGGCAGGCAGACAGAGAGACAGACAGGCGGAGGAAAGCGAGAGAGTGAACCACAGCTTCATGAGAGATGCTTCTGACTGGTGTTTACAACAATCAAGTGAATTAAGCATTAGGAAAAGAGGATTTGTTGATTCCCATAACAGCCCAGCTGCTCTCCTCTACAGCACGCAGGCTCGGGCCCTGGCAGGAAAATGAAGGCAAGAGCCCGGAATTAGCATTATTCCGAGTGTGAGGGAAATGAGTGCCCTATGAGGGTGGGTGGGGGGGGAAAAAAAATCAGAGACTGGCGGCGGTGTGGTTAGTGAAGGTGAGGACAAGGAGGAGCAGTCATGTGCAAGGTGTCAGCAAACGTGGTGGTGTCAATGGGTGCGGTGGGCTTCACCTACCTACGGGCCCAAAAAGCTCCGTCGCATACGGAATAAAATCTGACCACAAGCAAAAACACACAAACAAACAACAAAAAACAGAGAGGGGTGGAGTAAAAATAAAGACATTCGGGGTAAAACTGTAAACAATCCATGCAGCATTTCCACAGCGCGCACTCCAGTGTTTGTTTTAGTGGTGTCGTGTAAAACGGGTTGTGCGATAACATGTTGGCAAACCTTGTTCACCAGAGATCCGACTAATGCGGATAGGTGTGATGTAATGTGTGTGTGTGGGTGTGTTTGTGGGCCAAACAATCAGGCGAGTTAATAGGATCAGTGTGCATGTCAGAAAAAGGTCAGGGGCTGGGGTCGTGTGACAGCAGGTCAGTGGATACATGTGCGGTAAAAAGTAGGACTACACAGCGCGCTCTTACCTTGTACCCTCTGCAGCTTGGTGCGCCCGAAAGCCATGGGCAGGTTGAGAGGGATGAAGTGCTCGTGGTTACACAAAGTCATCAAGAAGTCAAACTTCATCTCGGTCAGCACCTGTGGCGAACAGGCGAGAGTGCGGTTCGCACACAAATATGCAAATTTCGGCCAAACAGAATTCTCAATGTAACATCAAAAGCTGCCCGCGGCAGGGTGTCTGCGAGAGCAACACATTTGACTAACAAATCCAAACAACATAAACAGAGAAGGCCGGGAGAAACTGTTCAACATCAGACACACTGACAGCGACAGGTGAGCATGAGACAGGGCGTGACTACACACACATCGTGGAGGCGCTCACGAAAACGCCCCAGTGCACGCTTCAGTTCACTTTAGACCTTTGTCCTTTAAGGTGGTTAATAATAAATAATGAATGCCGTGAATCTGCAAACAAAGGTGCAACTGATGTTTAGAATTCAGCAGTGCTGATGCATGTGTTTAAGAAAATTCAATAATAAATTGCTCCAGGGGGGAAAAAATGTCCCCTTTTTGGATAAAAATTTTTAGGCTAGTTTGAATAGTTTCACTAGTTTTGTTTTGTTTTTTAACCTTAAAAAAACTTCCCTCACAACACACTGATGGACATGATTATAGAGACTTTGGAGGTATATGTATACGACTGACTCGACTCAGTTTTACTGTAATACCTCTACTGATTTTCCTAAATTTGCCTCTGACTTATGCCCTCCGTACAGTAATAATTATAAAGACTCAAACTGACACTGAAACAAATAAAAACTCAACTAAAATTAAACATTTTCAAACAATTAAAATTAAACTGAAATAAGAAGAGCTGCCCTCAAAACGAACCAAAAATTTTTTTTTAAATGAAATTAAAAATTAATTATATATAAATATATATAAAACTAATAAATATAAAACTATAATAACTCATTTTTCATGTTTCTGTAATGGTTAATCCATCAGTAATGATATTTTTAATGCAAATATAATTATTGCAATCATGCATGAATTTTTCAAACTCACAGTTTTACAAGAAAGCTGCTAAAAGTGTTTAATATTACATTTAATTCATTTCTGATCTCAGAGAGGAAGAGTATGCCTGCACAAAGCTGAGTTCAGAAACATCCATTCAGTTTATTTCACTAACAAACAACAATATGATTTCAAGATTTGTAAACAATTTGTCCACAGGTTTGTAAAATATTTACGTTCTTGTGTTTACAACAGATGGTTTATGAAATGTTGTACGTCACAGGAAACCTCTGAGCAGGAAGCGGCTTTATTGGAACTGACTCACTGAGAAGTAATAGGACCTTTATTAGAAAACATACTACATCAGCTATAATCAATAACAGTGTGTATGATTCATAAAATTACTTTTATTAACATTTTATTAAACAAATAAATTAAATATTATTGAATATTATTAGAAATATTATTGTTTTATTGTTTGTTAAATTAAATATTATTGATATGTGCCATTTATTATTGAATTATTGAAGCCTTAGGTTGTCACACATGTGCTACACCTCCACTCTGACGTTGTGAGGTTGCCCAGCTCTGTGGAACACGTACCTTGGGATCTTTAGGGCTGAAATGACACATGTAGTGGTTGACCAGGCCGAAACCAAAACCTCTGTTCATGACAGTCAGGCACCTCTGAGGAGAGAAAGCAGACACGAGAAAACAAGCTGCTGAAATTCATGCAAAACGATGGAGATCTCAGACAAAACAACGCACTATTTTGTCTGAGATCAGCATTTAAAGGCGGCGCTGTCGTGTCCTGAGGCACAGCAGTAGCACATAATCTTACGGATCACAACAACACCGCTAATACAAGTTCAGGCTCGTAATACACCCTGAACTAAAATTACAGTAAACCTGTCTTGTTTTTTTAATTTTCTGTCATATATAAATAACAGTGATCCCTATTAAGGAAAGGGCCTCAAAGACAGTACCTAAAATGGTTATCTTAGGCTTACAGAGCTGCTTAAAGAACAAAGCCTCACCAGCTTGCCATTGTAAACAGTCTGCTTATGAAGGGCTGCCAATCAGAAGGAGGCAGTTGCCTTAAAAGAAGAGGAGCTAAATCAGCCTGTTTAAATCAAGGGATGCCTTGAATGACCAGTAAAAGGCCCTTCTCTAGCAAAGTCCATGAATAAAAATAAGCAGCTGGAAATGAGCAACAGGTCTTCTTTGAGCTGGTTTCATATTTAGCCTTTGGGGTTCACACCTTGATGAAATTCGCCAGGCTCAAGTTGATGCAGCGAGCCTCCTCTGGGATTTCTGAGTAGCGGATGGTGATGTGTGGCATAATGGACAACACCAAGGACTGCAGAGCCTGGTGGAAACTCTCCGGAAAGCGCTGGGCCCGTGGCATCTAAAGAGTGGGGAGGAATAGCACGTAATGATACATCACTTTAAAGTCAAACAGCCACCCATATTATGAAGACAGATCATTCCCAGCATATAGATAAGACTAAAAGGTTTATACTGTCTCTAAATAACTTGGGTAGCTGCTTCTGTATAGCAGCAAACAGCAGCGCAGCTCGGCCTGCTGCTGAATGTTTAGGATTTTTGGCAAAGACTCAGATGTAACACAGGCTCGTGGTATCAGAATGCCAAGTATACAATTAGTTTTCTTTGGGTGTCTGTGTTTTGTATCATCGCATGTGGTTATGCAGACATAACAATATGTGGACTAGGTCTTATAACAACATCCAGTC